GAGGAGAAAACAAACAAATAGTGTACTTGTTAAACAGAGTCAAAGTGTGCATGTGAGTATGAATGTACTTATTCATGTGTGGGTGTGTGCACCTACCTGGAGTTGACTGCAATATCGCTGCTTTGGAAACCCTCGAAGCTAGTCTTGGCCTTCTCAGCCAGGTTCCTGCCCATCTCACTCATCTCCTCACCAAACTTGGTAAACCTCTGCTGGATGGTATCCTCCTGAGCCTCTGCAGATGAGCGTGATGGACAGAAACAAGTAAAAATTATAGTCTACACAACATGGAAGAAGAAAAACCCGCAGCAGAGACGTTATAGGCTGAAAGTGACACAAAGACATACCTGTGTATGCGACAAAAGCCAGCACCAGCACGGCAACTGCAAGGTACAGTTTCATCTTGGCTGTGATTCTCTAAGGAGGAACAGAGGACAGGTCGTTGTTTTTTTCAGGTCACTCTCGCGCACAAAGACGTTTTCATGGCGCAAGGATCGAAAGTCAGAACAATACAACATTAATTCTTTGTCTTTAAAAAATAGCACCCCCGTGCGTCAGCACCACAGAGGGGGGACAGCTCCCTTTACGTCCATTCCGCTTAGCCATCCGACCTCATATATTGTGTAACATCTACAAGCTTCAGTTACTACGATATTTGCGGTTGAGTTATATAAATAAATAAGTCACATCACGTTCGAGCAAAACTTTTGGGGAAATACAGTTGTTAAACTATATGTTTCTGCGTCAGCGTCCTATAGTTAATAAAGCAACAAATGCTCCTTTCAGCTCTTGGAGTAATAACAAATGAAATGTGAAACATACCTGTTTTCCGTCTCGGAGGAGAAATAAATCGAGTGTGTTTGAGCGCCTATGTGTGTTCCTCTTTATAAGCCCACTCGGTTCCAGGAGGGTGACGCAAAACACCAGACTTTAGGTCAACATGTACACGTGGTAACCTTGACTTGCCTCTGCCCCGATCATTGATCAACGCCAATGTGATTTCATTAAAATATACTGTTAATGATAAAGATGCCGCTGAAAAACAAAAACAACCCAGCTCAAACGTATCTGCCTACTTGCATTATGCTCTAAGATTGTGTGATATGCAGCACACTGATTGAGGGGGATCTAGATTAAAGTCATCACCCAGCACTGAGTACTGTGTCTAATCATCAATCACATACCATTCACAAAGAATATGAGAGAATAAAAGAAATGTATCCTTATTGCATATGTAGTGCGCATGTAGTGCAATAAGTGAGATTTCACAGATGATGGCATCCTTAAGGGTCCAGAGTTTATCCCTCAGCAACAGTGGTGTCAATAGATAAGGTGAGATGTGATGTAGAGAGAACATAGTTCAGCACTGATAGCATTATTAACAATAGACCTCAGCTGTTTGGAAGCTCATCCGAACCTGAAGTGTTGGCCAAGTACTGTCTCTTTGTCAAACAGCCACGCATTTATTGGTAATAGATTATCATTGGTTTTGAAGCAACTAGATTTATGTGGTGAGCTAGAATCCACTACAGGATCAGGTTCAACTTTCCTAGGCTTGACTGTAAGAATGACAATTCTGGTTTGTGAACAGGTAGATTTTTTTTAATTAAAAAAAACTTTCATGTCTCTTATATATTTACACTGGTATTTTTATTTAGGATTATTGCATAGTTTGTACCTTTGCAGTGATGGAAGTAGTATTGAGATCCTTTAAGTAAAAGTAGTACCACACATAAAAAGTACTCCATTAAAAATACAAGTCCTGATTCAAATGTTTTGTATTTTAAGTAAATGTATAGACGTGTAAAATAAAATGTATTTAAATTTTCAAAAGTAAAGTCATTATCCAGAGTGGCCAGTGTCAATATAATATTAAGCTATTATATTATTCAGTAATTATTATTGTTGCATTGACATGTAAGCAATCATTAATGCTCATATTTGGTCAAAGTGGAGCCAATTCTAACTGGTTTGTATTCTGTTGGGCAGTTTAATTAATAACAAAACATTAAGATCATTATATTTTTGTGTGTAAAATTTTAATCAGAGACGTTATTCACATACTATATATAGTACAATGTTTATATCTGAGTTGTGGTGGAACTGAAGTATAAATTAGTATAAAATGGAAATGCCTTTTTCAACTCTGCTGTTTAAATATTATTGTTGATATTACAGGACATACATTTCTAAACTTTACCATGAGTATTCTGTTTCATGGAGCAGAAGTCACTGATACTGTTTTGTTGATGTATTTTTCCATTTACCACTCTGCTGAGATTTTCATTGCCTCATTTGATGTCTCTCTTATCCAGACCTTCCCTTTCTTAAAAGGGAAGCAAGTCAGACAAAGCCATATGTGGTCCATCTTGTAAGATAGCATGCACCAGAAAACAGTACAGCTGGATGAACCGTAGTAACCCCTCATTACAACTGTGACCTGAGTTAGAGCCAGGAAGTCTGCGTCTGATAGTTGAAAGGCTTCATCACTACTTAATATATCTGTTTTCACACCAAGCAGTCTGCAAAAGGCCAAATGCCCATTTGTTGCTGATGACTCGGCCTGTAAGGTGCTATTGCTATGATGAATGGCCTACGATGGTGTTAAATGAGCCTTCACATGCCTTAACACTCACACATTACCTCTGAAAGACTAAATCTCCATCTCTTTTGTCATGAAGTGGCCAATGGGTTTATGTATGAGCTTGTGCTTGCGTGCATATAAGCTCCTCTTGAATAATTGTAGGAGGCACAGGGCGTGAAAGTGCACGTCTTGCGTGCTCCCAATTTGCAATAACAAGCTTACAAAAAGGTTGTTTTTGTGTTTGGCCAAGGGCCCCTGTGGTGACTGATGTTGTGTGCCAACTCTGGAGGGGAGGGAGAGGATGGAGAAAAGAGAGGGGGTTGTAATAGGAGGTAAAATCTCTGCAGGGGTTTTTTTGGAGGGGTTACTAGCAGTCATGGGCTAGCTAGCACCTGCTAATTTGCTGGGACGTTTTTGTTTTTTTGTTGCTGGGCAGTGCTCAGAGTGCAGACACCCTATAGGAGCAGACAGAGCAGAAGTGCTGAACTGGCAGGATGCTTGTGGTTTTCCTGTTTTTACCATCCATGTCTGATCCTTGCAGCAATGGACAGTTTATTGTAGGAGTTTCACTTGTCTGAGTTTCAAAATAAACACTGGTTCCTGAAAGGAGTGATATCATAGGGGACAAACACCTAGTCATAGTGTTAGTCACTCTTTCACTTTACATGGAATGCCCTTTAACACAGATAGAAATGGTAAACATGTTTTGTTATACAATCACTTGGGTGTTTTGTAGTGATGAATAATTGCACATCTTTCAGAGACATACAGCAATAAATTACATATTACTACATATAAGATTTTTTTTTTAGTATTTTTTAGTATTTTGCTTTTATTTCTGATAGCATACAGTAGAGAGTTGAACATGAAATGTGGGAACAGAGAGAGGTGGAGATTACAAGAAATATAGATCCACAGCTGGATCCACACTATGGACATTATAGTTATGTGGTACATGTCTTGGACTCCTAGGCTACCACAGTGACCCCCCCCCCCCGGGCAAATACCAGTTCTGTGATTTCAAATCAATCTTTTACAATGTGTGTTCTGTTCTTGACACTCACCGAGTTTGTGTTTCTTTATGAAGCAAATGTAGTTTACTTAATCTTCCAAAAAAGAAAACACAGCTGCATCTTCATGCAGCATGGATTCAAGTGGAGGGGTCAGAGGAGAGGAGAGGAGATGAACAAGGGACAAATGGTGTCCTCTGCTGGCCTCTGCTCCACACTTCAAAGGAAAAATCCTGCTGAGTTGGAAGAGCATAACTTTGACTGCAAGAGTGAGTTATCCGAGTTTAGGACGATAATGACCATCTTTTCCCCCTAGGCAGGTCCAGATGTGTAGCAAGCTGAAAATCCTAAACTTGGATTTCTTTTACATTTAATGGCACTCAAACCACTAGTGTAATAATGTTTCTGCCGGGGGCAGATATGTTTCCTAATGGTCATAAGAAATATATCAGAAATTATTATTATTAAATATTATCAGAAAAATCTAAATAAATTTAGAAATGCCCAGTTTTCTACATTTCTTTTTTTTTTGGCATGTTGCCTTCATTTAATAGCTGACAGTGTCAAGAGTGAGGTACAAATGGTCCCCTGCCAGAGACGGACATTGCAGATTAATGATATGCACACTGTCTACAAACAGTATTTGTGCATGAATGAATGTCTCTTGTTGGCATGCCTGTGCAAATATGTGTATACAAACGCGCTGATGCATGTGTTATAACTCGAACCAAGCCAAGATAAAAACGGTGTCACCATGAAGATAATTCAATCTGGGGCACAGAATGTTCCCAAACGCCTGCTGGGATCTTAAAAGAAAGGAATCTGGGAGCAGATCTTAACAAGTCCAGACTAGAAAAAAAGTAGGCTGAGGGTTTTGCCTATTGAGGAGGGCTGATGAGAAACAGAAGGTGGTTGAGGTGGAGTACAGGTACAGGGAGGGAGTAAAGAATACCTGTTTTTTTTTTACTTAAGGATGAATTACGTTTGTGGGAACAGTAAGTTAAGGAGACAGTTCAGCGAAGAAGTAGAGGTGGGCTTCTGTGTTCACGTGTGTGTCAGAAGTTGGGTTAAAAACTGCAAAAGATAAATGCCCTTATGTAATGTGTTGCCCCACGTTGGCTTATGCAACAACTGCTTAATGTGAGAACATGACAGGTAAATTTGCAGAAGTGCATCACCAGGGGGTTTTAAGTCTATTGGAAGTTTCTCAGGATGGTGGTTTCGGGACATTTGGTGACTTTATTTATAAAAGTGATTATTTTAGACAGTGTCTTTATATTCAGTGCTTGAGCCTAAATGTACGACAGTGAATCGTTGACAGCTCTGTGGAAGTCTCCACTTTGTGTAGCCTTATTTTGATTAATAATGTTCAATGTTTGATCAGAGACACAAACAAGCGGAAAAAGGGCATCTTTTCTAGTATCTTTATTCACTCAGCACTGTTCAGCACACTGCAGCCACAGGCAGCGCACTTATAGTGAGCAGCATATGACATGTGAAACACAAGGGACACTCTACACTCAGGCTTAAGAACAGGCAGCATTACACTTTACTCACTGATTGTCATATTTGCCTCAAGTCATTTTACATTCCACTTCTCTGTGAAACACAACAGCAACAAGAAATGCAGACAATACAGGAAGGGCACTTTTGTGGTTGAGCACTGGCTCTAGAAGAAGTAGAAGACACATTACTGTTATGTGCCCCAGTGTTTTGATCATCATAATTCAGTGCATTTATTGAAATGAAAGACACTTGCGTTTGGTTCATTTTGGGGATGACACAGGATGGGATCCCTGCCTTTGAGGCTCAAACTCAGCAGTTATATTTACAACCAAACAAAAGGTAGGAAACAAAATACAAAATTTAGGGAGGGGGCAGGGGTAGTGGGCTAGAACAGTTAATTCAAAGTAGAAAAGCAAAGCATATTACAAATAATTGTCTCCTGTTTGTGTATTGAAGGCTGTTATTAGCTGTGGTGCTTGTGTTCAGTGACAAAGGGGCGTTGATAAAAGAAGAAGAGAGGGTGACTACGCAGAGGAAAGAACCCAAACAGACATTTTTCTGCTGACTGTTCTGTAAAAGATGCACCTCATCCTCCCTCCTTCCTCTCATCAACCCTCTTGACCCTGAAGGTAGAGCACCCAAAATGAAGATATCATCAGTAACTCAACTTCCCCCTTTCCCCTCTTTTCCAGGGTATAAAGAAATCAGATGTTTACACATTTCTCTTTCTACAACCACCAACCATCTACAACCCTTAAAAACCCCTGAGAGTCTTTCTTTAGTTGGTGGCGGGCACCTTGACCTTGTCGACGATGGTCTCAAACTGTTCACGGATCTTGGTGGCATAGGGGGCGAGCAGCTCGGTCAGCTCGTCGATCTTGCCCTCCAGGGAGGTGCGCAGGTCCTGTGCAGTGGCCTCCATCTGGGTCTTGAGGGTCTCAGCCTGGGTCTCCAACTGCTGCCCCAGACCCTCAGCCTGGCTCTTCAGCATGGAGGAGATGTCAGTCAGCCTCTTGGTGGCGGTGTCGCTGACCTGATGGACGTAGGGCTCAACGTTCTCTTTCACGGCGTCCATGTTCTGGGAAGTGCGGGATTGAAGCTCACCCAGGTAGGTGGCCACAGTGCTGGTGGGGAAGAAGAAGGAGACATTTAGGTTTCATATTAACAAGGACAAGAAAATGTTTTTTTTTTAAGTCTGAAAGCCTCCACCCCTCTTACTTGCGGATTCCTTCGGTGTCCTTGTTCAGGCGTTTCTTCAGCTTGTTGGTGTAGGTGCCGATGCGGTTGCGGACATCGTCAGTGTTCTGCTCCATCATGGTCTTGAGCTCACCCAGATACTCAGTGCTGCGCTCTTTGGCATCCAGCATGTCATTCTGCAGTTTGTTTGCGAGAAGCTGCAGGTCCTGAGACAGCTGACCAGTGGAGGTCTCAGTGTAGGGACCCAGCTTGGCCTGGATGTCATCTCTGTAGGTTGTCAGCTCTGCCATGGTGTCAGCGATCAGCGTGCTGGAAACAGAACAACAAAATGGTCTTTAATGAGACCACTTAGGAGTGCGAGCTGATGCAAACACAAGAGGTTGGTTAGGAGATGTAAGGGTTGCATGAACAGAGGAAGAGGAAGACAGCGATCTGGACAACACAGGGGCATTTGGAAATAAGGAGGTGGACTAATCGCTTCTTATACAAAATAAGAATGCAAGAGAAGGATAAATTGTTCAGGTTAACTTACTCTAGCTCCCTGCTGAACTGAGAGGCCTTAAGGTGCTGCAAGACTCCATCGGCTTGTGTGTTCATCTCAGAGATGTACTGCCAGAAACGATCCACGCCATCCTCCCAACTGGTTAGGGAGGCATCAGCCTGGCGCACAGCACGGGCATTGCAGCCTGTTATGGGCACATGTGGAAAGCATGGATTAAATACATTAGTACACATCAGATGCAGAAACAGATGCTGCTGATAAACCTTAACTACAACAACACTAACCAGTGATGACTGCCAGAGCAAGGATCAGAGCTACAGCCTTCATGGTTGTTAGACAGATTCACCTGTGAAATAAAGAAAAAAAATAAACATATAATATATAAAATAAACAATAAAATACAAACAGATGTAGAATTTCACAAGAGAGCAAACTTGACATTTTTAACCATAACTACAATTTAAGCATGTAGCTACAGAAAACTCGGGTCACACAACTTAAACAAGGAAACACATAGATGTAAATAATTATTGTCACATCCAGTAACTGAGCATTTTAGAAAATAAAAATAACGTAAGACTAAGCATCCTGGTATTAAATAGGACGGTTTTTGTCTCTGCATGCTGCGCGGTCTCTTCACTCACCTGAGAGAATGAGCTTCCTCCGTGCTCCCTGACCGGTGACTGAGGGCTTTTATACAGTCCCAGGAGGCTGCTCCTGCTGCGCGTGTCACAGGAGGGGAGGGGGGTGGGGGGTGAATAATGCTGGCGCGCGCACGCGTTCACGTGGTGGTTGTGATGATGATGATGATTTGTCTGCACAGAATCCTGTTTCCTTCCACGCAATGTGCCCCCAACACATTGTCCGAAGTTCTCACCGGTTTGCATTGTTTGAGGGGGCGATTGAGCAACAGGGCTGTCACAAGAAATAACGAGGTAAAAGTTTCACGCCCACGCTCAATGTTTCTGTGCTTACTTTGTTTTCTTGTTTTTCAGACAGCTGACAATTCTTAAAAAACAATGAAGCTTTCCTACTTTTCAGGTGTTACTTCCCCCATTACATGCTACTTTCTTACAGACAGAGGTGGAAACAGTATTCAGACCTTTGGCTAGAGTCAGAAAAAAAAAAAGAAATACAGCATAAGCATGAAAGTAGAAAGTCCTGCATTCAGTCTTGAATAAAAGTCTGGATTATGAACAGCAAAATGTGAAGTACCAAATCGTCCACATTCTGCAGCAGAATAGCCACACTAATATTATTATACTGAATATCATATTGTTGGATAGCTATTACTGGTTGATTACTGCATTCAGAGTTTTCATGTTGTAGCCTGTGGAGCTGAAGCTATAGTGTGACTGTATATACTGTGGGGTAATATTGCTACCTTTACTTAAGTCATAGATTTGAAATCTTCACTTCACTTTGCAGGTTTGGTGTTCATTATCACCAAGTGGTGTCATTTGAATATAAATGCCAGGATGTAATTCAAACTATCACATTTGCATTTCTGACAAAATGCTCTGTCTCTGCCAGCCATTCACACCCCATCTATCCACCCCTGACAGACACACAACCCCCAACACATAAGGCATTTTTGCATAACAGTCCCACCTTTGTAGTTCCAATGGTAAATGGAGAACATGTGATTTTTCTGTACTCAGATCATATGCTCCAAAAGTCTATGTAATGTATTTGCTTAACAGTACAACTGTATGAAGTACAGCTACCGGTGGGTGCAAATTAGTTGTCAGGACTACATGATGGGCATGTTCAGGCTTGGGGATAAACTCAGGTGCAGGAAGCCCTGTTCAAAAGGGGGATTATGGGGAATAAAATACAGAGAACTTAAACTATTTTATAAACTGTGAAAAAACAGTATCATGACAATGAACAAAAGAAGTAAATTACACAATCACACAATCTGTCTCTTTTTATGTTGTCAGTTTTCACATAAGAAAGTTATTTCCAACAAATTTCCAGGATTTTGAAATTGGCTAGGGAAAGGGGAAGGCTGATGAAGAAAGAAAGTGTTCAATGCAGCCTATTGAGCAACAAATATTTGTTTAATGTCAGGAGCACTGGTGCATATTTTTATTGGACTGCCATCTCCATCGTACACAGATCCATACTTGGCTTCTTCATTAGATAGACCTGTTATTTTCTTGTTATGACAAAGATTTTAAATCATTGTTGGCAAGGAATCAAACACAGACTTCCCTAATGTCAAAACAAGTGTCACCACTGAATCACAAAGTGCCAGACCCAAAAACAGTTCATTCATTCCCAAGCCCTAAGTAAACACTTATTTAAAAGAGAATGTCATTGATAAGATGTCATTGATATCTTATTGCACAACACTACTAGGAAACATGAAAGATGGTAGCAGCAAGGATCTTAGTTGGTGTTTCATAGCTCAGTGAGGGCTCCACATGGTGTTACATTCACTTATGGTGAAAGGCTTGGCCTCCTGTTGATGGCTGCATGGAAAGTAGAAGAAACATTGTATAACTCACACTTCAACTGTTATGTTGTGTAATTTGAAGAAAATTGGCTTATTTCTTTAATGACACATCATGTTATCAGTCACAGATAAATAGTTAGGCTATACCCTACCAGCCATGGCATACTGTATGTTAGTGTATGTTTTTGCTGCCATTAGTCATTATAAAACATGTGTCTTTTGCTGTCAAGTTCAACTCTGATTCCTTCACTGCCCATGTGTAATGACCTTTGCTCTTTAGGACTCGGCCTTTCTGTTGTCAACCCAACAGATTTCTGTGTTCTGTAATTTTTCACAGAAACCCATCTGTACATGAGAACAAAGTTTACACTTGGTCAGGTAATTAGTGTGAGAACATGATAACATGTGATAACCCAAAGAGTATGTGTTTAGTGATTAGGAGACTTTACCACATTGCCCAGCTATTTTGTTATGGATGAAAATGTTCTTTGCACTCTTGTAGAGAAAAATGAGGTGAAACAGTTTAATTTCCCGTTTAAACTCAGCATGTTTAGGTGTCACCTTTCTGTTAAAAACAAAAAAACCTTTGACCTCAGAATTTCATGATAATAGTGTGTCACTTGAGGAGGTGTGTCACACACAGGAAGATACTATATGTTCGGATAGATAACAAGCCAGGTCCAGTTCAAACACACAAGTCAAGATCAGTATTTTAATCCAATTATTCTGAGCAAACCGTTCTAATGCAACAACTTCTTAGGTTTTACACTCTGATCAAGATGCTGTTATCCCATCTTATTTCAGAGGAATATGTTTTGTTTCTTGTGCTGACAGAAACCTTTATTTTCACTACAGCTACTATAATACAGAGATGACAGACGCTGACAAGATATTTTGTGGGGTTTTTTTGCGCAGAGTGCATGAACCAGAGTGACCAACCAGTGCACATGTAACAAGACAGATTACAAGCCCGACCACATAAACCCACAATGCTACCAGGACAAAGAGACAGAAGACACACAGGGAAGTGAAACAGAATCAAGAACCGTGAGGTAATACAGTAAAATATCTGACACAGTCATCTAAGCTACAGCTGCTTCTCCTTTCTCTCTGCAACAACAGAAGCAATGTCTAATGTCTAAGGAGGGAGTGTGTGAGAGGGCATCTTTAAATAGTTTGAACCAAAGTAACCCCAGCCTGATGATGTTGTTCTCTGAAAGCTGGTTTGAAGAATTTGGTTTTTGGTTAAATCAGGATGATCTCACCCTAAAGCGAACAAGAAGACATCTGTTGATGAGTCAGCGAGGTTACTGCAGTTAACGTCTGTGGGTTAAGAACTGTTGAACTGAGTGTTCGAGTTCAGAATTGAGTGTTTTTCCTGTAGCATACCCCCCCATCATTTGGTTCTGAGTCAGAGTGTTATCAGCTGATGGAGATGTGTGCTGACAGAGCCAAATGTCTGAGTAGGGCTGCTGAGTTTATTGCACCGTCTTTCTGTAATGAAGGGGTCACAAGTTTGATGCATAAGGCTAATGCTCAGGGTGAGATGGTAAGCTAATGGTGTACTTATCATTGTAGGCTGAAGGGATAAAGCCTGGGGTGTAAAGGAGCTCAAACTATGCAGAAATTTGGTTGGTTGGAGACATGCATTTTCATTTTAAATATCACTTTTATTTGGCTGAGTATTCTGCAAAATCACTGTAAATTACATCTAATTAAAGGATTAGTTTTAGACATTTTGGGTGACCTTCTCTTGTTGATAGTAAGATGAACAGCTCAAGCAACCAGTTAGTTGTAGCTTAACCCAAAAATTGGATGCCGAGGGGAAACAGCTAGTCTGCCTTGCATACCTACTAGCACTTTTAAATTTCACTTATTAGGGAAAATTTAGTCATATTTGAACAGAGCCGGGCCAGATGTTTTATACAGACATCAGAGTGGTATTAGTCTTCTCATCTGAGTCTCAGAAAGAAAGCCTATAGTCATATTTCCCAAATTGTAATTTTATCGTTTCATCCAGCTTTGAACATTAGGTGAAACTTCACAGATTCATTCAGGGACACGATTAAAAGAAAAAACGATGATGACTGCCTCAGAAATATAACACATCATGTAAAAATTTCAAATCTTGGCAACAATCTTGGCATTCTGCTCCATCAATTACATGTTCTGATAGATCGAGAAAAGTCATGAGGTTATCTATAGTAAGTAAAATAATTAACATCTTATTTTTGCTTTTCAGGATGTGTTCTGACTCTTCTTCACTATGACGGCTTTCAAAACCTCCAGTTCATCATGTTTTAACAGTTGCAGGTGAAAAAGTACAAAACAAAACACCAAAAACAAAACCTAGTGAAACCCAGAAAATATTTACAGTATGTTAACTCATCAGGAATGATATTCAAAGTTTTAAAATAAACACAATCAGAATGTAACTAAAAGCTTTGGTGTAATCAGACAAAGGAAGAAATTAGGGCTGTGTGTGCTTGGAGGGTTAACGGTGTGGAGAGCCTGTGACAGCTGGGGGCAGAACAGAGGAATGTTGTTTGCCACTGGGTAAGGCAGCGTGGGAGCGAGCTGTGCAGCAGGGACTGAGGCACAAAAGGAAAACTAAAAAACAAGGTGGAAGCACAATGTTTTTATGAACCTCTAGACTTGCAGGGACAAACCTGGACATGCCCTGTCCAATATCCACATCTCAATCTCAACAGGGTGTGGCAGGCAGTGGGAGGGGAGGGGGGAGGTTTGTGTGTGTGTGTGTGTGTGTGTGTGTGTGTGTGTGTGTGTGTGTGTGTGTGTGTGTGTGTTTAACTTCTTTGGAGTTAAAATATAAAGTTTCATGCTTTCTCATAAATGTCAACATTTAAAACCTGGCTGTTGTCCATATGAGCATGGGAATATATACATTGAAGTGACTCTACAGTATGTGTTCACCAGAGGGCACTCATTGAGATTGGTTTCACCCTCTGTTGTGCAACAGCCAAGTCCAAATAAGTTTCTATTCTTTATGTTTTATTATATGGAGCTTTTGTTAATTGCTGTTTTTCATTTATTTATCATTTTTTCATTTAAATTTGATATTTGATATTAATATACTGACGTTGCCTGCAAAGAAACCCATCTGACATCCTGAAAACTCATCATCACTGATTAATAATTTCCTCATGACTTTGTAAAAACCACAACAGACTCACACGCTTATGTTTTGATTTCACTTTATTCCCATAATATGGGGAGAGAACACTGTGGTCACAGACCAACATTCAATGTTTATAATTTATCTATTTTTAACACTGTAAATATAGCTATAGACATCTTGATATCACAAAAATGGTGAGCTTGTGTCGTCATATTGTTGACAACATGGATGTGTCCCTGAAATCAGAGAACTGTGTTTCTTTAGATGCAGTTTCTTTCTGTTAAACATGAGGTGGAGATTGACTTAGTTGGCTTTGACAAAGGACTCGTAGAGGGTGGTGAGACGGGCCTGGAGGTCCTGGGCGTAGGGGTCCAGCCTCTCCCTCAGCTCATCAACGTAGGGGGTGGCAATTTCTTTCACCTGCTGGGCTCTCTGAGTCAGCTCACTCTGGACCTGCTCGGTCACGGGGGCCACACGCTCCTTGAAGTCCTGCAGATGCTGGTCCACTTTCACCTTCAGGTCGTCAGTGTAGGGTCCCATCTGAGCCTGCAGATCCTTCACACTCTGCTCCAGGCTGATCTTCAGCTCCTCGCTCTTCTGCATCAGGGTGGCCCTCAGGGCCTCGGAGTCCAGGGAGTCTGCGTAGGGGGCCAACTCCTGCTTGAGCTGATCAACTCTCTGCTGGATCTGGGCCTTCATGTCCTCGGTGAAGGGCTCCAGTTTCACCCTGACTGTGCTAATCTCTTGGGTGAGACGCTCTTTCAGCACATCGGCCTCTGTGGTGACTTTGGTGATCAGATCCTGGGCTGCAGGAGGAAGCTGTTCCTGGAGGCTGACTGCGTACTTGTTGGCGACATCGGCACTTTCTGTCAAACGGGCACTAGACATGAAAGGCAACATTGAGATGAAGTTTAGTCTAAAGCTCATATTCTAGTTGTTTAAGAATAGTATCTCCGTTGCCATGTATCCAGTTCTTTACACTATTAGCATGTCACACATGGTCTCACATTCTGTAGAACTTACCTGACATCCTGTCCAAACTGAGACTTCCTGATCATCCGGACGGTGTCATCAGCTGTCTGGGTGGCCTTGGCAACATAGTCCCAGAAAGCGTCAGTCAGCACCTCCAGCTGTGGCTTGGGTGCATCAGCATAGAAGAGGTTGGCATTGCAGCCTGTTAGATGGAGACATGACAGCCTGTTGTTAGGTTTGACAGTGCACAGTGCATATTCAACCCTCACCAAGGCTTGTAGTTCTTTGTCTTGAAAATACCAGTTGATATTTTTCTTATACTCCAAAATTTACAACAGAATAATGATATTTTTGCTGTCATACTCACCAGTGAAAACGGCAAGGACGAGCACAACAAGGACCTTCATGGCTCTTAGACCTTAAAGACAAGAAAATATCAGTAAGTCACCACAGCGAGCGGTAGACAGTCAAACAGCACCTCTTATTTCTCCATCTTACCTGAGTTTGCGAGTGTATCTGCAAGTCCACTTGGCAGCGCTTGTGTTGAGCTGGTGAGGTTCTGCAGCTTATATAGCAAGCCAGAAGGTAATGATCCCAAAGTCCACGTGCTAGTGCCTTGCTGTCACCCTGCCTCACCCTGCTATCTTCACTGACATCCTGTGCCAGAGAATCCACGCAGCATACAGATACAAGCCCATACTGTTACACCAATGCACATCCAACCCGAGTACGTAACCCAGTTTCTGCAGCTTCATATATTAGTGATTGTCTGGCAGATTTTCATTTTTAATTGCCTTACTTGATGTAACTACCTACATGTACGTGTGATTCATCAGTGTTGGAGTGTGAAAAAATCCATAAGTTTAACCTAAAACAAACTGTCCTCACAGGTCTGTGTAATCACTTCACTGTTAGTTTTTCTCAGACACAGATAACTCTCTGCCAAGACAGAAAAACCTCTCCCCCTTTAATTTCTTTGATGTCCAGCTTTGATTAGATATATGGTAGGTGTTTTATTGTCTCTGTTCACTTGACATTTTGCCAGCTAACGTCACGGTAATTTAAGGTTCTAGTTTCTGTGTCACGCCAATGTTCAGCAATCTCAATGTGTCAGTCTGGCCAAAGGTTAGTAAACTCCAACACCGTCAGCTTCTTAAGGACAAAGTAGCTGCTGTTTCACACCAGATGTGCCATAGTTCAATTCAGAGAAACCACTTTTAGAAAAGCAGAATTTGACTGCAATTTATTTTTCTCTTAGACAAGGAAAGATCCTATTTCAAGTCTGAGATTTGAAACTTAGGACATTTTATTGAAAAGATTTGGATATTTTCGCACCGAGAGACATTTTATACTTACTATGTATTTATCTCCTGCTTCTTTTGATCTTTAAAAAATTGCATTCTATGTTGGTAAATTAATGTTTTTCAATTATTCCTCTCAGTGAGCATGATTGTGTTTGTTTGTAGGTTTCACAAACTGGTCCAAATGTGTAAATTACTTCTGACAGAGCAGAAACCGGTTCTGCTCTGTCAGAAGTAATTCATTGGTTTTTTCAACATATTGTCCAGCCATGTCCAGCCATGTTCAGACAGTCTCTCCGAATAGAAGAAGTTAGGAATAGTTGTGCAACAAATGAAAAAAGAGCTGGACAGAGAAATTCAGTTCTTGGCTCCTCTCACCTCTCACTGCAGAGCTGGCCGATGACAGCCTGAAGTGGATGTGAATGTCAGATCATCCGTTTCGAAAAAGTGATGGTTGCACACAGACCCCTCTAATTCAACATGAGAAAGGTGCATGGGGAGGGGGGGTTCAGAAGCTGTAAATGCTGCAATGAGTGAACACACCCAAGTCCAAATAATGAGAGATTTTCCTGTGTTTTGATTCTGTCAAGACCATGTGAATTTATACAGATCACACGAAAACAAAGTTTAGAAATTATCAATCAATGACCACAAAAGAACTCTGATAAAGATAAACTTATAGCAAGGCTACTTAGGGAGTCGATAAAAGATGCCTGTCGCTATTGATTGAACAAAATGATGGATGTAACAGTGTCAAATGCCGGTGACAAAATAGATACATGCCCACAGGTATCACTCTGACTTTTCACATCTCAGTTAAGAATGAAAAACACAATGTTAAAAACATTTGGGATTTTGCATATTGTATCACATTCAATCTCCAGCAGAGCAGCATAAGTCTGAACATCCAGGTTGTGTTGCATCAGATTTGAGTCTTAAGTGTTCCTTCTTGCTCTTATTAAGATCGAATGAGTTTTCCTTTTTAAACCATCAAATATATGGTTTCAGTTTTTCGCACAGTACCTCCATAATTCCTCCAGGAGTTTTTCACATCTGAGACATTTTCCTGTGAGACTTCTTATGTTCCTGTGAGACTCTATACTCCTGAGGGACTTTTTCTGTATCTGACATTCTGTGATGTGAGAAAAATGCATTTCTATGTAATGGGCTCAGTCAGTGTTTACTGTGAGTATTTCAGAGGATTTCCCACTTTTGCTAATGCTTAAATGGGAGATTTCTACAGTCAGTCCTTATCTATTTATGCCATAAAAGAGAGTGACAACACTGAGTGCTTTTAAGTATTCATCTCCCCATCTTCCTGTTACTCTGAAAATAACTCTTGACATCTGCCATGAGTTCCAGCATTACGACCTGAAATGTAAACATGTCAGGGAAATACAATGCTACTTTGACAGCCAGGTAGAAAATATTGTACTTTTGAAGGTGTTACACAAAAGTGACTCCATTACTGATTGACTCCTGGCACAAATTACACCTGCAGGATACTGTAAAAAATTATGTGTGATTATTTTGATCCTTTATTAATATAAAAATCGTGTTATTTTATTCACGTTGCTTGAACCAAATACAAAGTCCACTAGTGTAAGGATACAAAGGTTATCTGGATTTATCTACAGGCTGTTACAGCTAGACTACGTGGATACTGTAGTTAATCTCTATTTCCTAAATGCTTTCTACAGAGGGGTCAGAGGAGAACTACTGCAGTATTTCTTGTGGTGTAAGATAGGTTTTGTTGCCTGGACATAACTAAAAGGCACGTAACCTCTGTATAGTACAAAGATTGTGACTGTGATAGTCATGTGAGAAGCAGCAGAAACAGGAAGAGAGCCATTGTGACAACATGGCAGGGACTCCTGGACTTTGGGCTCTTGACTACAACTGTCACCTGGGGTCAGTATATATACACAGAAGCACCACTCTGACACACTCTCAAACACGCTAAACCCCGACAGATACACAAGCCAAAAACAGGTGAGAATTACACTGAATTTCAAAACACAACTTTAAGAGGCAAATATAAATGATTCAACTTCATTAATGCAGCTTAAAAGTTAACTAGTTCATATTGTTTTTCAGCAAGACGCAGTCATGAAGGTGTTTATGGTACTAGCCGTTGCAATGCTGTCGGGTAAGTAGCTTTCATTTTGTGTTTTTTCAATATGTCAAAGTCAAAGATAACTTAACATTGCAACATTGCTTGATGTTCGATCAGAATAAACTGAATGGCTGGAAAATATGCACAGCTCAAACTAATCTCATCTCCATCCAACAGGTTGTCACGCCAACCTCTTCTATGCTGATGCACCCAAGCCACAGCTGGAGGTGCTGACTGATGCTTTCTGGGACTACATTGCCAAGGCCACCCAGACAGCTGATGACACCCTCGAGATGATCAGAAAGTCTCAGTTTGGACAGGAAGTCAAGTAAGTTGTATGACACACAGGACCATGATGACTTTGCCTACTAGTCACACATATTGGTTTTACTCAAACCGCTGATGGTCTAAACGTTACTTTGTCCCTCTTTTAGTGCCCGTCTTGCAGAGAGCGCTGACATCGCCAACACATATGCAGTCACTCTGCAGAAGCAGCTTCCCCCTGCAGCCCAGGACCTGATGACCAAGGTCACTGCAGAGGCTGACGTGCTGAGAAATGTGCTGACCCAAGAGCTGACCTCTGTCAGGGACAAGCTGGAGCCCTACACAGAGGATATGAAGGCCCAGATCCAACAGAGAGTCGAGCAGCTCAAACAGGAGTTGGCCCCCTACGCAGACTCCCTGGACTCCGAGGCCCTGAGGGCCACCCTGATGCAGAAGAGCGAGGAGCTGAAGATCAGCCTGGAGCAGAGTGTGAAGGATCTGCAGGCTCAGATGGGACCCTACACTGACGACCTGAAGGTGAAAGTGGACCAGCATCTGCAGAACTTCCAGGATAGCGTGGCCCCCATGACCGCGAAGGTCCAGGTTGAGCTAAGTCAGAGAGCCAACCTGGTGAAACAAATGGTGGCCCCCTACGCTGAGGACCTGAGAGAAAAGCTGGACCCTTACGCCCATGACCTCAGGGCCCAGCTCATGTCCCTCTACCAGTCCTTTGTCAAAGCCAACTGAGTCATCCTCCATAATCAACCTGCTCCATCACTGACCTCTGTTTGAAGTGTGTAATAATTTAAATATCTGAATTGTACTGTAAAACTAATGAAACTGGGTGTATACCCACGACATAATATTTATTGCTAAGTGCAATATTTGCAAAGCAAACCTCTGCACTTGTCAAACATGTAAATAGTTAGTTAGTTTTTAGTTTAGTTTTTTTGTGTTTTGTGAAGTTGGAAACTGTAAGATTTTGTCATTTCTGTAAGTTATGAAAAAATAAATAGATGAATCTGGAAAATGTGAATCCTCCAATCTCTGTTTTCTTTCTAATCCGTAAATAGTCACAATATTCTACAACTATTGTAAGACATGCTGTGTATTTACAAGCCATCTGAAAAGTACACTGACAAAGTGTGATCACTACATAAACACACATCGAGGAACTACACAAGTCACAAGCCACAGTGGCACATGTGCTGTTTTTTTCCCAGCAGGCAACTAGTATTTTGATATCATCTGCCATGTCTTAACATGTCCTGGCTCCTAGTTTTTCCAGAGGTAGACTATTGTTCTTGTTCCTGTAATCACTTGTCATGAAACTGCACCTTCCTGGTACCAACGCTAAAATCAACAAACTGCTGTGAGAAAAGTGGGTGACCAATGTGATGTGAAAGAGACCCAGACAAACCAGTAATGGACTGATTCCATTTGATGACACATGAGACAAAAACTATTGCAAAAAAAAAAAAAATCAGATGCATTATTTGCTCGTATTTAAAGTGAGTGAAGTGTACTAAATACCACATAATTCTTTTTACCATAAAAAAACAAAAACTGTGCAACATCTTATTGTTGTAAATATAAAACACAAAGCCTTCTTATCCCTAACCCAACTGACAGTGCCAGCATCCAACGTGGAGGGTCAGAGTCCAGTGACAACATACCTACACACTCACATGCACGTACAACACACACTATGTATATTTGTTCCCTGGTTACTTCAAAACAGAGCAACCACAAAAACAGCAGTGACAAATAATTACAAATTGACAAGTTCTTTAGATATCTCACAAGTTAAATCATTAATTATAAATTTGACTCTTGTGGGTTTTGCTTGAAGAAAGGAGAATAACTTTTGTTTATAACTGATTCTTGGCAGAATATCAAAAGTGTGTTCAAACACATCAGTCATTGATGCAATTGTAGGATATAAGTCTGTACTTTCTTCTTAAGTGTTACTCTGCAGAACTCAGTCTGCCTTTAATCTAACTACATCATTTGTGCTACATTCACTGAGTTGCAAACTACTGAAAATCTCTGTGAGACTTTACAAATGCAAATCTGTTCTCACATTTTCATGAACGAGCCTGTATTATACCTGATTAGCACCTGTGTGGGCACCCAGTAGCAGTCACACTGCCTTATCAGTCAAGACAGCCAAAAGGCATTTTTAAGGCCTTGATCCCAACAACCACTTTCTAAAGCTGAAGGGTTCACTAATGTCTGCCCCATTCAAACTCCACGACACTGAGAGGATGGAGCTGTTGTTTGAGGCAGACGAGTTTCTTTGAACAGGACACATCTTGCCTTATTCACAGTAGTGGCAAACAGAGATTCGGTGTTGTTTTGATGTAGATAAGAGGTTGTTACTGGACTACTGCTGCTAGTTTGATAAGAAGATCAGAGCCTGTGGACATGAGAAGATACTGTAGCTGAATCATGTTGATAGGTCATTGAAAATGCTCTCAGGCTGTGATGTTTGTTCCACCTTGTTGTCCCCTATGGGCTGGGCGGGTTTTAAGAACAGCAAGGTTGTGACATATACGTGGGGTGATTTTGGTTGAGATGTTTTCTTGCCACTGATTGCCTCAAAAAAATGTCCACATGATCAACAGCTCAAGTCAATCCAAACCAAAATTGATTACAGTGAGCCTCACAAAGGTTATTATTTATCAGAGACCATTTGTATTGGACTGCAAAAGGGAAACTACCCTTTTGTCATTAAAAAACATGGTTTAAAGTAGTGGTGAAATATATCTATATACATTTATAAGTACTATACTTAAGTGCAGTTTTGAGGCATTTGCATTTTACTTTACTACATTTATATGACAACAATAGTTACTGGCTACTTTTCACATGAAGTTTTGACACACTAATTCACAATATGATGCACTGTTTTAGATAAAACTACCCAACAGTTTAAAGAAGCAGTTAATATGAGCTCTAACTCAACCAATCACAGCAGTGAAGTAGCACTTACTGTACATGGTAATGCATTCATGATGATTAATGATTAATGATCCAATTGTGAATAATGAGTACTTTTATTTTCAATACTTAAGTACTTTTTGTTCTCAGTACTTTTACTTAATTAAGATATTGAATAGGGAGCTGTTGCTTGTGGTGGAGTAGTCACCATCTGTGTCATTGCAACTTTTTTTCTCAAATAAATGATCTGAATACTTCATCCACCACTGACTGTAGGGTTAGTCATTCAATCCCCAGCTGTGTCAAGTGCCCTTGAATATCATGAAATGCATCATGCGACTCTGTAAAACCAGATGTAATAGGAGAGGCTACACTGCCACCCAGTGACCGAGCAGTGTAAGAGCTTGAGCGTGAATAAAATCTCCCAGCTTTGTGAAGGGCAATGAGGAGTGAATCAGCAGGTAGATGTTCAGTTATCTTGCCTGTCCACTTCAACAAGACACAGGATTTTAGTTTTGACTGGCAATGAAATATTCTGTATTAACTAATGACCATTCAAGCTCATTCTGACTACTTTCTGAAAATATTCCACCGGGCATTGTACTGATGATGATAATTATAATAATAATAATCTTTTGCTCTGGGTTGTTAATCTATGTCTCTTCTTTACTCAATGTCAACATTTCTTTATTACTCACTCAGAGGATAACGAAAAGTGAGAATATTAAAAATAAATTAAATAAAAGGTAAGATCTTCTTTGTGTATTTTTGCTGTACATTCATGTGGTACAGTAATTATTTGTCTACTGTAATTTAATTTTTGTAATTGTACTAAAAAAAACTCTGACCCTTAAACTAATATAATTTGGGTATAAAGAATACAAAGATTATTTATAAGTAATGTTAATTCATCATTGCACTGCTGTTGAGAGAGCAAACATTCAGCTGAATTTATAAATGCTCTTCATTTTATGGTTGACCGTTTCTATCTTGTCATACAGTGACAGTGGCAACACTTAACACTTTGAGCTGACAGAACCAGCAGGCAAAAATGCCCCCTGGCTGACAGAACATAAGTCACAATAATATATTGCATAACATTGTTTAAAGGCTGAAACCATCAATCAGTTACATACCAGGACTAATAATGGACCTGCATGAACACCAAATGTTCTCTTGAAGTTAGAACATGCATGAAAGATTTCTTCATTTGTGTTTTTGTCTTCACTCCTCTCTGTGGTTAGATGCAGGCAGGGCTCAGTTAAAATGTGATGACAGACAATTAAATCTGATGAAACCACAAAGACATGGCTCTGATTAAGAAGATTGTAAAACTCTTAATAAATAATATCCTGAGATGAATCCATTTCTCAGCTTTTACTCTGAAAGTTGCTCATAGTCATAAATACAATATAGAGAAATATTTTAGATTTAAAAGTTTTCAGGGGATTTAAGGGTACGATGAGAAGTATACAGGATGCGTCCAAAAAGATGATTGTACAGTGTTTCTGAAACATTGGCAAAGTTGCAAAAGACATAATAATAGTTTTATATTACCGTTTGAGTTTAATTCAGTATGATTAAATGTACAAAATGAGTGTCGCAACATGTGAGTAAAACAAATCTAATCAGTATTCAGAGCAAGTTTGAGATGGATGAAAGATGCCTGTCATCACAGGCTCCCTCTGGGAAAACAAAAATGTCACATGTTTGATGGTGTTTGTTTTGATGAATGGAAGCATAAGAATCAGGGACTCAGGTCGGCTACAAATTCAGGTTTATGTAACGTTTGTTTACTGATCATGACTTGGATATCCTGACACGCCTCTCTCTCTTTTTTGGTCCTTTCACTCCCATCACGTTTCAGTCACTTTGAAAGAGACACGAGACAAAAGGTCGCTGGAATTCGCAAGCAAAACGAAACATGGTTTAATCAACACAAGCAAGGAAATTCATTTGTTATTTGTATAATGCGGTTATACTGCCTTTTAGGTGTTGATCTGGTAATCCTCTGTTTGGGGACCTGCGGTTTTGTATCAGCTTGATATTTAAGATAAATAGCAAATATATGCAACATTACTACAAAGGAAAGCATACTGTACATTTCCTGTTTAGTAAATAATTTCAGTTTGTTCATGTATATCCCATAGAGTCGGTGCATTTTTTTAACTTGTGAGAAGGTGTATTCAAGCTTAGACGAGGTGTTAAGTTGCTCTTTACAGGCTTGAAAAAGGAACCGGCACAGAGGTGCAGGTGGCTGGAACACAAAGCCACATGGCCAAAATTGACAATGTGGCAGGGAGTAGGGTGGAAATAGGTTGGTATAAAAATACTAATGGGTGACTGGGGAGTGACGAACAGGTGTGCAGGTAGATGTGGGAGTCAGGTGACGGGGATTGGCAAGAAAATCTGAGGGCATCTGGTGGATGGATGGAAATCTGGCACAGAGTGGGAAATGCCTGGGGGAGTTACAGTGGCTGAAGGAAAGGCAGACGCAGGGAGACTGAGTGTGTTGTGATGACAGGCTGATGTTATATTTATGAATATTATTTGTACACATTGTGTAGGCCAAAGTCAGTGGCTTGTGTCAAAGGAAGGAAGTAAAGTCAGTATCAGCAACAAAGAACAAAGGTTAAACTATTGTCCAACAGGCTGTTTAATAAAAACTTGGCCTACGTGTCTTTTAAATTATAACTTCTTCTCTGTCAATCTGTAGTCAGCTACAGGGTGATCATTCTGTTGAAGGTCCAGTGTCCACTGGTCAACAGAGGTTTTATATTAAAATTAGGAGCACTGATGTTTTGTCGAGTATCTCTCTAGTGATCAGGTGTTTCAATCGGGGTCGAACGTACTGCAAGTCTCGACAGGTGTAAGTGTGTGTGTGTCTGTGTCTGTTTGTCCGTACGTGCCAACAAAGGACTAGGCAGATCGCATGTATTCTTGGTATGGACAAAGATAATATTTCTTTATCTCTTTGACACTTTTACACGTCATAACATAGATGAAAGGCGGCAGTCCTTTGTCTGTAAGACTGTCTGGTATGTGTCTCTTTTTCTTAGCAGTGACGCTTGTGCATAGTACACATCATCACATACCCTCCTCTTCCACTCTATATTGCAATAATTTAACAATGCAAAATAATGATTTTCCTCTTTCCAAACAGAAAATGTGTGTCTTTACATTTCTGCTGTTGAGTTTGATTTTGCAGCACGCAGCCACATCGGTAAGTGTACTTATCCAAAGCATGCCACATTCATTTCATAGTCATTATGCCAGTGATGCACGGAACATTACCACTGTGATCAAATGATGTGCCATTCATCTGACATTTGTCCACAGCCTATTTCATCTGCAGAAGGCACTGAAGGTGAAGAATAGCTGGCTGATAATGGCTTCCAACAATATTTTCTCTGAAATAACTTTTGTAATTAAATCAATAAAAAATATAATTTTCATTATATTCACTATGATTGATCCAGATGTGATTGTGGTGAGTGAAATAATCATTTTGGAATCAAAGTTATGGGATCATATTTATGAAAACCTAGGAATGGAAATCACTCATACAAACACGTAACAACAAGTCACACTGAACATAGTGTCTTCTCCTTATGCTACCTTGTGTTTTATCAGACGGCAGTGGGTATGAAGAAGCTCTAGACATTGTTGAGATAAACAAAGGTGTGTATAAAAGATCCATACATTATTCAAACTGTTACTTTCCATCACTTGGATTTACATAGTAAAATAACAATAAATGTTCTTTTTTCAGATCTGAATCTACATGAGGGAGACATACGACTAATGACTGTGAGAACCATTGCTGTTATACTTTTTTTTTAATACAATACACTTGCACAACAACCTCGAGTTCATTGTGATCACTCTTCTTTTTAAAGGGCCGTGACAGGAACATTGTTGTTGGAAACCAGTTCAGATGGGAATTACCAGTCCCATATGTGTTACATGAGAGCCTTGGTAAGACAAAGAAATGATCTTTGTATTTTTTCAGCTGTAAAGAAAAGAGCGGAATTAACATCTTGATTGACTTGCTCGATTTTCTGACTCATCATGACGTTGTGTACTTCCTTGAAACACAGACTTGAATGCCAAAGGGGTTGTTCTACGGGCTTTTGACCAAATACGGCTGAAAACGTGCATCGACTTCAAACCCTGGGAAGATGAGCCACACTACATTGTAGTCATCCAAGACGATGGGTGGTTCACTATATCACTGATTATAATTACATAGAATATTCTTTAATCTTAATCATTTTTTGGTTTTTATAACCAATCTTAATCTTCTTCTAGTTTTAGTTTAACAGGATACATTGTTTCCATGTAGCTTGATGAGGTGATATTAGTGTGAACCTAGTGCAGGCCTGTCTTTCCTCACCCAAACAGAGTTGTTACGCATATCTTTTTCTTATCTTTTTCTTCTGAGTTCGTAGACTTTTGGCAAGAAAGCAAATAAGCTAAATGTCAAACTATTTCTTTAACTTTATTGCCTTACTTGTCTTATTCACCTGTTCTGTCTATAGATGTTGGTCATATGTTGGGAATCAACATCAGGGAAACCAAAGTGTCTCTATTGGACAGTGGTGTGATCACCTTGCCATTGTGGAGCACGAGTTTCTTCATGCACTGGGCTTCTGGCATGAACAGTCCAGATATGACAGAGATGAATATGTGACCGTTGTCTGGGAAAACATAGAAAAAGGTTTGTTTAAATCTTAGCTGAATGCATCTTTCTGATTTTAAAGTGGGTGACCTCTGCTACGAAGAAAAACCATATTAAACATATCTTCATGTTTTATTCAGGAAAGGAACACAATTTTTTAAAGCACAGTTCGAACTACACTACCACACTAGGAACGATGTATGATTACACATCTGTGATGCACTACAACAAAGACGCCTTCTCTAATGGCAATGGATCCACCATCGTCACTAATCTGCCAGAGTACCAAGATGTAATTGGTCAGCGTCTAGAAATGAGCTCTAATGACGTTCTGAAGCTCCAGAAGCTTTACAACTGCAGTAAATGCTTATTTTATTAAACAATGCTGCATTATAGTACAATGTTATTTGTTGTGCATATGATCACGATTTGTGTTTTTGTGTTTTTGTCAGCATCTGCCGTAACCTTTCGGATGTCCTGCAGCTTTGAAGATGAAAGAGTGTGTGATATGACTCTTTGCGCTGCAGGAAATACCAGCTGGGAGAGAGTGGGCAGCACAAAAGCCGGGCCGTTTTCCGACCACACCAGTCTGAGTTCACAGGGAGGTATGAGCCTGCGTTTAGTTTTAATTTCCTTTTGTATGCTGTCAAAAACACCATTCAACACCTTCAATCATTTCTCTATAATGGTACAGCTGCTGTGCATTACATCCCTTTATTCTTTATTATCCCCATCATGGTGTTAATTTATACCTTGCTCTAACTGCTGTTTTTGTTTTCCAACGGACAGCAGCGTTGTGATGGGTTTACTCTAAAGAGACACTGAAAATGCCAATTAGTAGCTGGTGCAATTTTAAATAAAACACTCTTGCAATTTCATTATGTTTACAGAGAACCAGACAGAATCTGCTCATGGAAATGGCACAGCAAATCAAAATGGTGAGTTTTCTGTGAAACACTATTACTGCACCCAGCTTGGAGTTTCTCATCAGTTGCAGTTTCCAAGGTCATTTTTTGCACACTACATTTCTGCCAACTACAAGAGGATCACTTTAGTGCTTAATTGTGTGTAGGTGGAGGCTCCTTCATGCACTGCAGCACAGTGTCTGGAAAAGAGGGGGATGGCGCCAAAATGCAGAGCAGGAAGATGAATCCAAAGAGGCAGATCCAGTGCCTCCAGTTTTTCTATTTTCACAGCGGGAGCGACAAAGACCAACTCAACATCTGGATCAGAGAATATGACAGGGAAGATGAGGAGACCACCTATCTAATGGGACAGATCACAGGTGAAATCATGCATAGTGGATATCTGTTATCCACAAAACATGACCATTTGAAAGTGGCATCATACAGCCAAATCCAGTGTGTAAATCGTTTCAAGCGGTTATTGACATGTAGGATTTAATTTTAAAGATAAACATACCAAAGGCAAATCAGCTCCATAACCTGATAAACATTCCTGTCAAGATGTCTGTCTACTCCAAGATAAGTGTTATTAGATTTACATGCACTTACTGCACTCTGCAGTGTACCATCAGTCATACTGTATGTTCATTGTCATTTGTCAGGTCCACCAACATCTCACTGGCAGCTCCATCACGTTTCCCTCAATGCCACTAGGCCCTTCCAGGTGGAGTTTGAGGTCCGCAAAGGAGCAGGAAACTCCTTAGGCGGGTTTTCAGTGGATGACATCAACCTGTTTGAAACTGAGTGTCCACATCATGTCTGGCATATTCCCAATATTGACCATTTTCTGATGAACAGCAGCGTTGGCACAAGCTTACTGAGCCCACGGTTCATAACCAGACAGAGCTACGGGCTCCAGCTTCTGCTGCATCTCTACTCTAATCACTTCGGTGTTTTCTTCCGGCTCGTGTCCACAGACCATGATGACCAGCTCCAGTGGCCATGTGTGTGGAGACAGGTGACAGTCTCACTGCTGGACCAGAGTCACCACATCCAGCAGAGGATGTCGAAGCAGATAAGCATCACAACTGATTCAGAGAGAACATTCATTGGAGGTGATTGAGCAGCACAGATATACAAAATACATGCAAAATATTATTCAATAGATCTTGATAAATTAACTGTACTGTACGTGTGGTTGTATTGCAAGTGCAAATCATGTGTCTCACTTATTTTTACATCAAGATAGTGGAGAGATATTTCACTACTGGGATAACCCCAGGAAGCTGGGGCATCTCATCAATGACACCAACAGAGAGTCGTACTATGCTGGTCCAAACCTCGGCTACAGGACTTTCTTGTCTTTGGATGCATTTCGGTCAGGAAACTTTATAAAAGGAGGCAGCATCTTCTTTTTCCTCAGCTTTGATGGTATATATTATGGCAGTTAAAAAAACAACTTTATCCTTAAATCTTCCTTTAACCAATTTTGACTTAGATGGACTATATGTTTTATCCATCCGCTTGTTCACTGTATCTATATGATTTTTAAGGTTGCACTATTACATCAAATCAAAAACTTTTTTGAGATGCTGGACTCAAATGATGCATGAGTCCAGCTGGGTTAACATTCAATTCTATTCTGTCAGGGTGTCCGGATGGGTTACAGTGAAGTTAAAGCATCACCATTTAATGTCGCTTTAGTAAGCTTCTGTAAATCAGCAACAGACTGTACTTGTAATAACTGCACTTAGTGGAATGTCAAACTTCTCACAGCATGTTTGCCATTATTTTACATGTTACAAGCTCCCTGGCACTGAAACACTCTTTTGATATTTTCATTGACAGATTTATCGACTCTACGACTGAGTGGCTCAGACCCTCCTAAGCCACAGATATGGTCTAACATGAACCATGTGACTCTGATGAAGACAGATGATAAGGGAACCTGCCTAAACCAAATGTAAGAGCTGACAGACAAATATTAAGAAAAAGGCTAACAAAAAAAACAAAAAAACAAATGAATGTGTTGAAAGGCTTGCATAGACGGGGACAAAGAATGTGGAAACGCCTGTATTACAAAACACCCCCTTCTGTTCTGACAGGATGGGAAGCACTACAACCATCATCACTCCATCATTCATATCATCATTTGCAGTCAGGTACATCTGCTTTGTATCAATAGCATGTACTGTACAGAATTTACTGAGAATAATTAGTACATAAAGTAGCTCTGTTTCACTGTGTTGTAATAAATACTTATATATTATTATATATTTATGTATATACTGTATGTAGTATGCATTTATACTAGGCTATATAACAAGGGCTGCAACTAATGACTGTTTCCATCATTGATTAATCTATTTCTTATTCTTTATATTAATCAAACAATTAATTAAAAGTATGAATATTAGTTCATCACAATTCTCTTCAGTGTGCATTTGCTGTCAGACTAATTGTCCAATCTATCTAATCAGTTACTCACTTAATTGTTTCAGCCATGACCCTAACATCATACAAGTAAAGCACCTGCTTTATTTATCGGTACCATTTTTGGGGGCATATTAAGTCATCATGCTGGTCATCTGATTAATACATTTTTGAACTTCTACAGAATAAGAATTTTATAAAATGTATTAGGCCCACACACATTACCAGCACTGTACTTATAAAGATAACTATAACTTTCAGTGATTTGCACTTAAAATACAACTAGAGTTTTACATAGACTATTCTCTATTATAACCATTCTGTTGTTATTTTCCCAGTCTTCCCACAGGAACCATCTTTACCATGCTGACAGCCACAGTGGCCCTGATATCAGGAAACCTGCCCTTGACACTTTGAAAATCTCAGCTTTGTTCTACAAGTATAGAAATTGGTGTATTTCTATGGTCGAGAGACTTTACAAACCAAGGGTGTAGGTTTGCATATGAACAATAGGGACATGTCCCTACCAATATTTTGGGAGGACAGAATTGTCCCTACCAATATCTGAGTGAATTCGTTCACACTATGTTTGGAGTAAAGTCATGTTAGATCATTCCAGTGTACCCTCCAAGAAGCTATGTATCCAAGACAACCAATTTAGGCATGCTAGTATTTCATGTGAGAATGTAACAGTGGTACTTAACATAATCAGAAAAATGTCAACTGTTGTTATTTAACCATGTTAGCTAGTGTTAACTATCAAATTAAGCCTGGCTTCTGTCTTCTGTTTAATTTCTGTCAAAAAATTATATTGATTAAAAATTATATATATTATTTATCCTATTAAAATGTCATCGTGAATATTATGACTTTTTTATGCCTTATACTAAGAAGTTTTTGTGCCTTACTATACTATAAGGTTTTTATGACATTTTATGCGTTACTATACCATGACCATTTTTATTACATTTTATGCGTCACTATACTACAATTTTTTTATGCCTTACTATATTATGATATTTTTATTAAATTTTTATGCCTTACTATAGCATGACATTTTTATGCCTTACTATACTATGACCTGTTTATGACATTTTATGCCTTACTGTACTATGACGTTTTTTGACGTTTTTTATGCCTTGCTATACTGACGCTTTTTTACGTTTTTGTGCCTTGCTATACTATGACGTTTTTATACCATTTTATACCTTACTATAATATGACGTTTTTATGACGTTTTATGCCTTACTATACTTTTACCTTTTATGCCTTATCATACTATGACTTTTTATGTCTTACGATACCATGACTTTTTATACCTTACTGTGGTGGCCGCACCACATGTTAACAAGTGTAAACAATTTATGTTCAACATTTAACTAACATTTCAAGTAAAAACACTACACTAAGCTTTTGTTTTCATACAACACACAATTTATTGGTTTGGCAATTTTTTCCTTCCATGGATCCCGCATGACCTCCCCTGGCAAAAAGGAAATGGCAATGAAAAAGAATGCCTGTTCAACACTGCCAAGCAGGAAGTGGAGGAGGCCAAATGCTTGGGCCAGGAGCTGAGTCTGCATTTTTGGGATTTAAATAATTTCGGACTTTAAGTTTTGATTTGCTTATCTTTGTTTGGTTGTTAGTTTCTTTGCCTTTATCTATATAAACCCACCTTGTGTGTCATTTTGATGAGCTCATTTTAATTGGCTGTATGTTTAGTTGACCTATGTTTAAATTAAAGGGCCTTAGTTTTGAAATAATTTTCTTGAGTTTCTAACTTTTGTATTTTGAGAACTTAATTTTTGTTAAATTGGAATTTTTTGTAAATGAATAATAATTTGTTTTACTTTACACAACTGGTTTCTTGAGCTTTTCTTCTCTGGTTCCTGACACTTACTATACTATCAGATTTTTATGCCTTACCATACCACAACTTTTTTTGAGCCTTACTATAGTCTGATGTTTTTATGCCTTACTATACTATGACGTTTTTTTAATTTCTTATTCCTAACTATACTATGTCGTCTTTGTGACTTTTTACACCTTAATATACTATGCATTTTGAGGACTTTTTATGCCTTACTATATTATGATGTTTTTATGACATTTTATGCCTAACTATACTATGACGTTTATATACCTTACTATAGTATGACGTTTGTTAATGTTTTTATGCCTTACTATACTATGACGTTTTTATGCTTTACTATGCTATGATGTTATTTGACATTTTTATGCCTTACTATACTATGCTGTTTTTTTTATTTCTTATTTCTTACTATACTATAACGTTTCTATGACATTTTATGTCTTCCTATATTATGATGTTTTCTTTAACGTTTTCTACCTTACTATACTATGATGTTTTTATAACATTTTATGCCTAACTGTGCTATGACGTTTTTATGCCTTACTATACTGATGTTTTTATGACTTACTATACTATGACATTTTTTTTCTCCTTTTTATACCTTACTATACCATGACGTTTTTGTGCAATTTTATTCCTTACTATACTATGCCCTTACGATACTATGCCTTGCTTTTTATGCCTAACTATACTATAACCTTTTAATTACTTTTTATGGCTTACTATACTATGTTGTTTTTATGCCTTACTGTACTGACGTTTTTATGACTTTTTATGCAATAATATACTATGGCATTTTTATGACATTTTATTCATGATTGTACTATGATGTTTTTTGATGTTTTTGTGGCTTACTATGAAATGTCGTTTTTTTTATTTTGTTTTAATGCCTTACTATATTATGTCATTTCTATGCCTTACTATACTATGAGGTTTTATGACTTTTTATACCTTACTATACTATGATGTTTTTATACCTTACTAAACTATATCATTTCTTTGACATTTTATGCCTTTCCATTCTATGACGTTTTAATGGCTTTTTGTACCTTACTATATTATTACATTTTTATGACATTTTATACTTAATGTACTATGACGTTTTTTGACGTTTTTATACCTCACTATACTGTGATGTTTTTATGCCATACTATACTATGACGTCTTTGTTATAATTTATGCCTTATTATAATGTGACGTTTTTATGACATTTTATGCCTTGCTATACTATGACGTTTTTGTGCCTTACTATACTATGTCGTTTTTTTTTACTTTTTATGCCTCATTATACTAGGACGTTTTCATGACTTTTTATGCCTTACTTTACTATGACGTTTTTATGCCTTACTATACTATGTCGTTTTTTTGACTTTTTATGCCTTCTTATACTATGTCATTTTTTTGCATTAAAACAGTATGACGTTTTCATGACTTTTAATGCCTTACTATACTATGACCTTTTTTTAACTTTTTATGCCTTGCTATACTATGACGTTTTTATGCTTTACTATACTATGTCGTGTTTTGTACTTTTTGTGCCTTACTATAATATGACATTTTTATATCTTACTATATTATGTCTTTTTCTTGACTTTTTATGCCTTACTATATTATGATATTTTTATGCCTGACTATACTATGATGTTTTCATGACTTTTTATGCTTTACTATACAATGAAGTTTTTTTTACTTTTTAAGCCTTACTATACTATGACATTTTTATGCCTTACTATACTATGTCTTATTTTGAACGTTTTATGCCTTACTATACTATGTCATTTTTTCAACTTTTTAAGCCTTTTTATACTATGACGTTTTTATGCCTTACTATACTATTTCGTTTTTTTGACTTTTTAGGCCTTACTATACTATGTTGTTTTTTTTACTTTTTATGCCTTACTATACTATGATGTTTTTTTTAATCTTTATGCCTCACTATGTCTTTTTTATACATTACAATACTATAACGTTTTTATGCCTTGTTATGACTTATAATACTATGACATTTTTATGCATTACAATACTATGTCGTTTTATGATGTTTTGTGCCTTACTGTATGATGATCTTTTTATGTCTTACTATACTATGTTGTTTTTATGCATTAAAACACTATGACGTTTTCATGTCTTTTTATGCCTTGCTTTACTATGTCTTCATTCAACTTTTTATGCCTTGCTATACTATGTTATTTTTTTCAACGTTTTATGCCTTACTATACTGTGACATTTTTATGCCTTACGATACTATATTGTTTTTTTTACTTTTTATGCCTTACAATAGTATGACATTTTCATGACTTTTTATGCCTTACTATACTATCTTGTTTTTATGCATTAAAACAGTATGACATTTTCATGACTTTTTGTGCCTTACTATACAATGATGTTTTCTTTTTACTTTTTATGCCTTACTATACTATTACGTTTTTATGA